GAATCAAAAGAAACGGCTTAGATTGAGCCGGTAGCTAAGCAGGCCTACGGGTCCAGCGGCTCAAAGGTGAAAGCGCAGCCCAGGCCCATGTTTGGAAGCCTAAGGCCCATGCGGTGTTCAGCAAGCCTAAAGGCCAATAGGGCCGTGAAATTTTATTCTTTTTGGCCAAAATATAAGCTATCAATGCAGTATCAGTTTATTTTCAGTAATTATAATTTATTGTTTGACTAAGTTTTTCTTAAGTTTTATTTCATATAAGCACTATCAGTTTTTTCTCCCTTTTAAGCGTGTTATCAATAAGTTTAACTTTTGTCCATATAAGCTTTTACTATATTTAAATAAGTTTAATTGCCCAAAATTATTTTTAAAGTCTTTGCTAAATTTTAAGTTACCGTTCCGGGCATTTTAAATTGCGATGCATTTATTAGTTGTTCTACTACGTCAATTTTGCACCATTATTATAAGTTTATATAATTTTCTTAGCAATAATAAGATGTTTCGCTACAAAATTCTTTGATTAAATTGGAACCAACGAGAAGATTTGATTTGAGAATTTAAGTTTAAGTTAATAAGCATGGCTTGTGTTTATTATTTAACCAACGTTGTTTAGTAAACACCTGTCATAGAATTTTATTGTTCTATTCTATTTCTGTCCAACGGTGATATGAATTGAACATTAAATTTAAGGATAATGAGCATGTTATTAATCAGACCAACGTAGGGTTGATTTCATGTGCATTATTATTATTATTATTATTATTATTATTATTATTATTATTATTATTATTATTATTATTATTATTATTATTATTATTATTATTATTTACTAACTCTCTGATATTTAAATAATGAAGCTGTCAATGCATCCACCCTAGCTGGGATGTTGAATGGCGTTGAGCCCCTTGATGGGAGCAACTACGCCTCTTGGAAAGAGAAGATTGAGATATTGTTGGCCTTGTCAAATATTGACTATTGCCTCCAACATGATGAGCCTAAGGAGCCTGAAGTAGATGCACAGGACTATGCTAATCTTAAGAAGGCTTATGATGAGCAGTATCCTAAGTGGAAAGAATCCAATAGAAAGTGCCTAATGGTATTAAAAGCCTTTGTTCATGAGAGCATAAGGGGAGCAATCCCAACAACTGAGACTGCTAAACAATATTTAAGTAAGGTTGAGGAATAATTTCAAGGTTCCACAAAAGCTTATGCCACCTCTCTTATAAAAAAGCTCTCAAATGATAAGTATGATGGGAGTGGCATAAGAGAGCACATCATGAAGATGAGCAACATAGCAGCTAAGTTGGAGAAGATGGAAATGAAGATCTCTGATGGTTTTCTTGTCCACTTCATAATGGCATCATTGCCACCTCAGTTTTCCCATTTTGCCATAAATTATAATAATCAATAAAAGAAATGGAGCATTAATGAATTAATGGCAAGATGTGTTCAAGAAGAAGAAAGGCTCAAGTCTGAAGGCCCTGACTATGACAATAGCTGTACTCATCATAAGAGAAAGGGGTCATGGGATCATAACAAGGCCAAAGGCAAGCAATCTAAGTTTTCCTATCAAGACTCTCCTAAGAAGCAAGAATCAGCTGGTGGATCTAATTCTCAAGTTGATCCGTCATTATGCAAATTCTGTAGAAGCAATCAACATATGCAGAAAGATTGCATTGGTTTTCTTAAGCGGCTCAATAAGAAAGGTATAATTTATTATTATTATTGAAACTTGTATCTAAATCTTAAGCCATCAAGTTTTAATGGACTAACCTTAGTGCAATTAATTGCAAATGATTACAGGATACAGATATGAAGAAGATCCAAAGAAGAGGCATAGGAAGGAAAATTAGATGCTGAAGCTATTTTTCATACTCCATTAGAATAATTTAGTAGCTTCATACTTTGCTTTAAGTGATTTGTTGTTAAGAACATTAGTCATTTTGGTTGTTTCAAGGACAAATTTTATGTGTTGTAATAATAACTCTAGTCTTGTTATCGAACAAGACAAATTTTATTTCATATTAAGCATATTGTTCTTCTCTTTTATAGTTGTTTCATGTTTAAAGTAATATCTTAGATTTTGTCGAAATCATGGCAATAAGTTTTAGGCCATGTTTCAAGGGGGAGGAACAAACAAGTATAAAAATGACTAAAGAATAGCTTTTAGTTATTAGACTATGGTAGGGAGAACCCAATAATTATTTGAAGTTTAATTGTTTAATACCCAAAGTTCATCATTTAAGTTTTATTATAAGTATTCATTAGTTACTAATCTTAGTCCTAATAGACAATTAAGATCTCAGGGATCAGGGGGAGTAATTAATTAGCACACAAAGTTTGCTCATGTATCATATTTGCTTAGTATATATTTTAAATTAAGACATTATTGCGATTAGAATATAAGGCGGAGCAACAAAGTACCAATATAGATAAAGTATTATTTAAGTGTTCTGTTGTGCCTGCTCTCATAAGTCAAGGCAATGAACCAATATGAATTAGTATGAAGTTGAATAAGACAAAAGAGGTTCATTTAATTTAGTAATGCTAAAAAATGTGCATGCCTTCATTCAATATTTATGACCAGGATAATTGGCAGATATAAGCTTAACTAAGTATTTGCAAATTTTGATTGGCATAAGAATAAGGAATTCATGCTCATTAGTAAGTTGTCAAAAATAACTTATGGTCATGAGTTATTGAGACGCAAAGTTATTATTGCATAGTCAACAATGCAAACTAAAGTTTGAAGCATGAGTTAAATTGGGCATGCTTAATGCTATTAATATTAGTACCCGGATTAAGAATGGTAAATTTGCACAACCACCTAATAATACTGCAATAGTTCATAGCAGTCATCTAGTTGAGTAACAACATGTCAAGTGGACTGTCAACCACATTGACATTAAGGTGCTAGTTGTGAAAGCTACAATCCAGAATCTTATAAGCTAAGACGAGCATATTGTTGAATGCTTGCGGTACCGCTATAAGGCCTATTACCCACTTTTATTATTTGTCGGCTTAAGTATTATCTGGGAGGCCACCGATTATGATTCTGGTACTAACGGACCATTAAAGCAACCATCTCCTCACAAGACTAAGAAAATGTTCATTCAGAAATTTTAAATGGTATGCTATAGTCATTGAGTTTGGTTGCACTTAACTGGCAATCACAATGCTTTGCCTTGGTGTATTGTTTTTTTATTGAAGAGTGGATTCCTTTCGATCAAGGGGGCAATGTTGAGTTGATCTCAGGAACGGTCAAATGACCGAATGGTCATAAGACCGAGTCCGTAGGGGAAACCCCCCATGCGCCGACTTGATCGGAGTCGCCAAATGAAACCTATGGTTGCGGCCCCCTGTTACACAGCGCTCATAAATAGAGGCTCCCCTTCCCTCTCGTAACCCAATGGGACGAGTGAGGTTAGCCATACAATCCTAAGCACCCGATCTAACTTGAGCCCTGGAGTAAAGGGAAGGCCACCGGCCGTAGCTCAGTGGAAGGAGTGGAGTACGACTACGGCATCATCTTCACCGACCTAACTTCACCAACGCCTGCATCACGCAGGCACGGGTCATCGCTAATGGCTTCCTCATCCGCCAACGAAGGTAATACCCGGGATCTAATTCTAAGTTTAAGATTAAGTAGGTGTCCTAATCGGAACTAGAGATCCTGTATAAGTGTTTAACCCTAAGTTAATTCTAATAAACCCTCCTCTCAACTCTACTAGCAACCAAACAATCCGATACAATATGGAAGGAATTAGAATTCGGAATGGGGAAGAAAGCAAGGATTGAGGACTAGAGATATATGTGGTAATCAGTAGTATCTAGAGAAATGCACGGAGCAATAGAGAGGAAAGTTCAAAGGAGTTAGAACACGGATAGAGGTAGGAGAAGGTTGTTTTGTTATTCTCTTCATCGATGCCCTTGAACGGCCGCTACCTTCCTTCCTTTGTAGTCCTCCTGCTGTTTTTCCCTTTTGTAGTGCTTGTCTGTTGTCACCTTAGGTATGTATGGGTTGTATATGTTGGCCCACCACTGGACGATCCCTAACATGGTACTATATCAAAAACCGATATAGCAGCAGCAGGTGTGTGCCGGTGCATCAGACCTCACTGATGTAGCACAAAAGCTTGCGAACTACGGTCTGTTTGTTTCAATTGTGAGATATGAAAAAGTGTTGAGCTATAAAAATACTACAAAAAATGTTGTAAGCTATTTGGTTGAAACAACTACAAAATCAATCTCTCTCTTTATCTCCCTTGAAACAACTGTAAAATGTCTCTCTATTTCCATTTATTTAGAAATGCCGAAAAACTGAAAGCCAAAAGTAAAGTGTGCTATGAAAATTGTACTACGTGAAATTAAAAGCTACTATTTCTAGAAAAGCCGTTTTAGATAATTAGATTCTACCTGTTTGGTTGGTCTTTTGCTTTTTAACAGCAGAAGCAGCCAAACATAAATAACACGAACATGGAGCAATGCCAAAAAAGAAAAGAAAAGAAAAGAGCGTAGGCCAAGTGCAACTAAATGTTTAATACTCCCTCAATCCCACAAAAATGATATTCTCACTTTCGAGAAGTCAAACAGTTTTAACTTTAACCAAATATATATAAGAATAATAATATATAAGAATATTAATATTTATAGCATATAATTAGTATCATTAGATGAATCGTTAAATATGTTTTCATAACAAACTTATTGAAGATATAAATATTGCTAATATTTTTCTATAAACTTATTAAGTTCGACTAACCTGACTCTCATAGTGACACTTTTTTTTTTGGGAACGGATGGAGTAAATCGTAATTGTAACCGAAAATACTATGCTTCTTCTTCTACAGGGTGGTACCCTTGCACGATTTACACCTACGAAGAGATACTCAGCTTCGTTGTATCGATAACTGCATGTAACCAACCCGTTTTCAGCTTAGCTTGATATGCTGGGTATTTACAAACTATACGTGGCAAAACAAGGTACACCCATTTCTCGAACCTCAGCAGCCACCACTCGCAGGCTCGATCGAGCTTCGGAGGCCGTTGCCCCTGAGCGACGTGCAGTGCTCCTCAGCCTCGGACTGGGAACAGACAATCACCACTGACAGCCCATTCACATGGGCCTCCTGCATGATGTTCACAGCGTTGTCGACGGTCATCCCAGGGATCACTTTCATCAGGACCTGGACAACATACTCGCGCCTGTTGTAGTTGTCATTGTGCAGAATGACGCGGTATGGAGGTGACATTTTGCGGGATTTCCTGCAGAGCAGAAGGGCTTGGTCATAACATGGTTTCCATGTGTACAATCAGGCCAAATACTATCACAACCATTTTAGAATGGTAACAGCTCAATGACATCTATTTAGACAGCCTGAAAACTGAAAATGAGATAAGCTGTCAATAAGGTAGCCTGGTGTGTAGGATCACTTTTCTTACTAAGCATCAATGTGCCAATAGAGCATACACAATAATAGTAACTGCAATGTTGTCAAGTGTCATTGAAATAAGGTCACAAACATAACGGCTCTATTCGCTTGTCTTATTGTAGAACATGATGTTGGGGCAATAAGCCACACTCTCAATGGGAGAGGGGCGCCTCTATTATAGGGCAGCTGCTGCTGCTATATATGGCAGTTTACAAATACAAGGACAGGAGTAAATCTCTGATCCTAATTGACTGGACTGCCTAAATATGCAATATACAATCTCCTATTGCCTAATACCCGCCCGCAGCCGAAGCGGGGGGCTTGCGGACGCAGAGGCTGGTTCTGAACTCTTGAAACAGTGGCGTTGGGAGCCCTTTTGTCATAATGTCAGCAAACTGATGAGATGAAGGAACATGAAGGACCCGAATCTCACCAAGAGCCACCTTCTCGCGCACAAAGTGAATGTCAATTTCAATATGCTTCGTGCGCTTGTGGTGGACTGAATTGGCCGTCATGTAGATGGCGCTAACGTTGTCGCAGAAAACCACCGTGGCCTGGGGCAGCGGAAGATGGAGCTCCTGAAGGAGTTGCCGCAGCCAACAGCACTCGGCCACAACGTGAGCCACAGCACGGTATTCTGCCTCAGCACTAGAGCGGGAGACCGTGGTCTGGCGTTTGGAGGACCAGGAGACCAGGTTGTCGCCGAGATAGACGCAGAAACCAGAAGTGGACCGCCTGGAGTCAGGGCAACCAGCCCAGTCAGCATCAGAGTATGCGGTCAGCGTCTGAACGGAGCCGGCGCCAATGTGAAGACCGGAGGATAGCGTGCCCTTCACATAGCGCAGAATGCGCTTGATCAGCGCACGGTGGGGCTCCCTTGGGGCGTGCATGAAGAGACACACCTGTTGAACTGCATAAGCCAGATCAGGACGCGTCAGAGTCAGGTACTGAAGAGCCCCTGCTAAGCTCCTGAACTCTGAGCTGTCCTTGTCTGACAGTTTGTCGCCGTCATGGGCGGAGAGCTTGGCCTGAGTGTCAACAGGGGTTGACGTAGGATGACACTCAGCCATGCCCGCCCGCTGGAGGAGATCGACGGCGTACTGTCGCTGTGACAGGAACAGGCCGTCGGGGGTGCGGGTGACGGCGACGCCGAGGAAGTGGTGAAGAGCACCCAAGTCGGTCATGGCGAACTCAGACTGGAGTCGGGCCATGAGTCGCTGCAGAAGAGCGGGAGTTGAGGCGGTGAGGATGATGTCGTCGACGTAGAGCAGCAAGTAGGCAAGACTCGTCCCCTCAGTGAGAACAAAGAGGGACGTGTCGGAGGCGGAGGTGACGAAGCCGAGTACAGGACGACGTCAAGGTGCGAGAGCAGCCCGAATTTGCCACACATGGCGTTGAAAGCTGTGGACCACTTGGTGTAGTTGGAGGGTCGCAGCTCGAGGGTCATGGGGATGTGGGTCTTGACGTTTACCATAGCATATGGGCAAACGGTTGGGTTTATGGCTTCAGCCATGGCTGGAGAGGTGGCGGAGGTGGTGGAGGATTCTGTGGTCATGATGGCGCGGCTGTTTGGCGGCGCAGCAAGGTTGGGCGGCACTCAGGGAGAGAGCGGCGCAGGCTTGAGGGAGGAGAGGGAGGGCCAAGATCAGATTGCTCTGATTACCATGTAGAAGATGATGTTGGGGCAATAAGCCACACTCTCAATGGGAGAGGGGCGCCTCTATTATAGGGCAGCTGCTGCTGCTATATATGGCAGTTTACAAATACAAGGACAGGAGTAAATCTCTGATCCTAATTGACTGGACTGCCTAAATATGCAATATACAATCTCCTATTGCCTAATACTTATGAGCCGCACTATTTCAGCGAACGAATAGTGTTTTTCTCTCACAACAAATTAGCGAACAGTACTTTCAGCCATGGCTTTTCAGCAAAGCGAACAGAGCCAATGATCGAACGAGCTATATCCCACAGGTACAGGCTCTTGAGAGAGTAGAGGACTAAAGGGTCCAACTCCAACAATTATATGACGCAACTCCAACAATTATATGACGCAATTTGCCATGTTCAAGACATGTTATTGTGGTTTCAAAGTAATTAAAGCCCTACCAAAAGAAATACTTCTATAGTTCTATGAGTTGATATTCCTGGCAAACCACCATGAACTACAGAGTTTATAGGAGAAAAAGAAATCTACAACAGCAGCAAACCTCCTTCAATCATTGGGAACAGGCTGCAATGCTGCACCATTCATTAATCCTGGCACTGAAATGAACTAGGTATACTCCAACACTAGCCAATTTATTCACTAATGCTTATACATGAAGGAATGCAATAAGTATATGTAATGTAACTCTGGAGGTGAAGCATGAACCTCTTTTACACAACATTAAAACTACACATCTTAGCGTAAGAACATCCCAAACTAGAAGCAACCATATACCTACCAATTGTGGCAATAGGTACTAGCTGTCCAAGAAATTTCTCCCTCCATACCAAAGCAGACTAAAAGATAGCATTGCATTTGATTCCTGATGAGGCCCAGTTGATGATGGTAACATCAAAAACAAGTTTCTGGAAAAGAGAAGGAACTTGCACATGGCAATACGAAAATAGATGTGCAGCCATCAAGTTCAGTTGGAAGTACTCCTTACCCTTCAGTGTCTACGGAATATTTCAGTTATTCTTTTTGTGCACGAATAAATTGTTAAGTGTTCTTCCAGTAACCACAGTGAACGGATACGGAGTAGTTGGCAACTTCTTTGTCTGTTTGAAACCACTTAATGATGTATTTGTGATTGATCAGCTGTTTCAAACTAAGAGCGTAACTCAGACAACGCAAAACTCATATCCCCACAGTTCTGGAAGTTAAACTTACTAAGAATTGAAAAACAGAGGTGATAGTGGATGACACTTACTTCACATCAAATTCAGACTGACGACCAGGGGTAGTTTTCTCTACTGGCCGATCAAGCACACCACCTTTGCCTGGCGCAGCTGCTGACAGAGCCATAGGAATTGCAAGACTTTGGCATCTTCCCTTGTAAATGAAAGATCTATCTCCTGCACAACATGAAGAAAATCAACACGAAAGATTATATCAGAAAGTCTGCAAGAGTAATCATGGACCTATGACATGATAAACAATATTTCCATGTAAATTGGAAGTCATCATATAGCTAGCACAGTTCTTGATTGCACATTTGTGCCTCCAGACTGAAAACAAAATGAACGAAAATGGAGTAATAGCCTTATGATCATACAACAATAAACAGGACTATAAGGTTGAGGATTAGTTGGTGATAGAGCAAGATTTCCTACGCATTTCAAGTGAGGGTATGGTATGGTGGATTCAATCATCATCTTAGTCATTTGGGGTTTTCAAGAACACCATCAAGAATAATCAGCAACTAGTAACGGCCAGCAAGGAATAATGCACCTGTGGAGAATGGCAGGCAGCTGCAACTGATTGTTTACTTCAATAGTAGTTTAAATTTCAGCTTCCATTGCAGACTGTATTTATTTTCCTGTAAATGGACCTACTGTGCAATATAACAACTGCTAGTCTACTACCACCGAAATCTGTTTGCATAGGTGACTTGGCAGTTGGAACCGGTTGTTAATATGTATGTAATCTGGACTAGAAAAATGGGAAGAGCTGTAGTGCAAAACACAGTCAATGAATAAAGCATACTGAAGCAACCAAACAGGGAACTAACAGCTAGCTGATTGAAAATGCCAATGAAGTCAACCACTTAACCTTCACCTTGCCACTAACTAGAACAGACATCACCACACATCGGGTCCACGTCAGGCGGCCATTCCATGGCAAGAAACGGAAGGATTCTCTCTTCACAGTATTGGCAATAACGGCAAAATCCTTGCCAAAGCGGAACAGCACTTGTCCGCTCTCATACTACGTGGAATCCCCCACAGTTCTAGCTCCACAGGAACAGCGTGAACAGCACGAATCCTACTTGCCCTATTGACCTTATCCACTGAAAGGTACTAAGAAGTGCTACTAACTACTTACTCCCAAAATCGCATCCAAATTCTAACAAACTGACAAAACGGAGCCAGAATCGGGAGCGAGGGAGACGGAGCACCTGCCACGGCGTGGCGATTCGGGAGGCGGCTCACCGCGGAGAGCGCAACACGGCTGGGCAACGCGGCCTCCATGTCGCCGACCGCCGTCGCCGCACCTCGGAGATTCTGTAATCCTGGGGCCGAGCTCAGTTGCCGCGGTGGTGATGCTCCGTGGGCCGGTCGACGTGCGGTTTGGAGGCACCGGATTATTTGTGGCCCAGTAATTTGGTAGGCGTCGCGGGAGCGCCATCTGTTAGGCCAGCGCCAGTCCGAGCGGTCCGGGCCTCTGGGCCACTGGTGTCTGCAGATTTTTTTTTTCCTCCGTTCCGACGCTGAAACTTGATGAGGCCTTGGTTGAATTACCATTGTGCCCTTCGGGTTGGTGGAGGCTGGAAAAGGCGGTCCCAATGGCCTAACGGGTTTTCCATTTTGTCACCCTTTGGTTGCTGCTCCAAGTAGAAGAATTTTATTAAATTCAAATCATTTTTAAACTCATAAGGTTAATCTTGAAAATTTTTATGGGAAGCAACTCGTTGGGGTCATATTTTTATGGAAATTTCATGGTTTTTTGTTTCGGATTAATAATTAGCCTTCCTTTTGCACTCAATTAATTTGATTGCATTGGTCACTCTCAAATATACTAATCATTAAAGGACCTAGGCCATCTATGTATTGTCCAGCACGAGACTAAGGTAGGGACATAACTTAATAAAGTTTTTTTTGACCAAGGTAGAATAAAGAACCCAAACTACTCAGTGAAATTTTAAACACAGGTAGATGAGTAATTTTTAATTAAATGAGGATGGGAACATGTCCTTAAATTCCAAAACAATATGCATCGTATGATTTGTTTTGTTTCAATTTTAGTTAATGTTGTATGACATATTGTTGGATACCATAAAAAGAGATACCCTAAGCAGGAACCGATAAAAATTGCTTAGACCTTGTAAATATCGAAGCCAAGAGACAACCACGAGGCCTCGGCTGATTCTCCGATTCGCCTGAGGCCCACGCCGCAAGGCCTCCGACGAGGTACCAACTCTCCGCCTCGCCCGAGGCCCCGCCCGAAAGGCCTCGGACGAGGTACCGATTCTCCGCCTCGCCCGAGGCCGGCTCGGCAGCTACTCCGTCACCGCCACCACGACCGAGACGTCACGTCCAACTAACGCAACCAACCACTCCCGCATCGTCAGCCGCCCGACGGCACAGTGCAGCGGAGTGACCGACGAGACGGAAGTCACATCAACGCCCTGCCATCCGAGGCAGGACGGGGCGGGGGTTACCGGCCGCTGTGCTCGGCACTGTGCCCGCGACTGACGCCCGTACTGCACTACGCTTCCTAACCCCTGCTCCAAGGACAGCGCGGCGTGGAGAGTCAAGTCCAGGTCCCTGTAGCCTCGGAATCAACGAACAAGACCAACTGCTCCCTCCGAGCCTTGACTATCCGCTTCCGGGCTCCTATAGCCTCGGGACTTGTGCCTGCCGAGCCCCCACGATGGTTCAGGCTCTGCATCGACTGAGCCTCGGTTCTCTACATTGTCAACACTCGCACCGCACGCCGCGTCGCGCGCAGAACGCGCCATACCTGCGTCAGTGCGCAGAGCCCCACGTCGCGACAAGGCCTAGCTCTTGTAGCCTCGGAATCGGTAGCGCCCGCGCCATCGCATCAACCCCGCCTCGGCACTCCGCACCGATCAAAACCTACAAGAATTCAGCTTCGCTCCCGATAGAAGAAGGTGCGCCGCCACCACGGAACGGCAGGCGTGGCCGTGCGCGTCACCCAAAGTGCACCGAGGACAAGACCGCTCCACCGACCATACCGCCACAGTGACAAGCTACAGGGCTCGGACATGCCGCCTCTGCCAAAAAGAGCACCACGTAGCAAACACATGTACCGCCCCTGTACCTCCCTTCGACTATAAAAGGGAGTAACCGGGGCCGCCCCTAGGAGGACGAATAGACACACACTCACGGAGACATCGCTCAGATAGACACAAGTGCAAGCAACGAGCAACACTCTGTAATACGCACGCTCCTCACTACAAGAGATCAACGTCTCAAGCAACCCACGCCGCTCCATGCAGAGACCTGGGATTAACTCCCTCTCTTGCCCTGCTTGTAAACCCCTACTACGAGCACCTTAGTGCAAGGAATACAAGATCGCTCTCCCAGAATGGACGTAGGGCACCTATTGCCTGAAATAGTATAAACCTTGTGTCTCTTTGCATCACCATCCGGGATAGGGACACGCAGTATATTTTCACTCGTTGGCTGAGGACCCGCCGGTCCAAAACACCAATAGTTGGCGCGCTAGGTAGGGGCATACTGCGTGTTAGCTTAATCATCCCAACAAGTCCCGAATGGCAGACCCCGTACGACCACTGCGTCTCGGCACGATGATCTAGTTCGGGAGCCTAGAGTTCATGTCTCTAGGATACGAGTACGATCTAGTACTCCTCCCATCCAGAGCCCCGTTGGCCGACGACGGCATCACGCACCAGCAGCCCAGGCGCAGGCGGCGCCCGGGCCGCCGCTCTCATCGCGCTCGCCAAGCACGACGCGAGCGGAACCACCCCAACACCGCGCAAGTTCAGGGCAACGCTCCGCGCCCCACCAGTTTCCCACACCCGGCTGTTGGCGCAGAGTCCCTGGCTGGGGACCTGTCTAGCTTAAGCCTGGGCAAGGGAAAGACGCCGGTGGCGTGCAGCGACGCCCTGCCATCAAGCTTTGCCCCGCCACCTCCTGAGGAATCGACTCCGACGGAGTGGAACCCGGCGATGGCACCATCCCCGTACCCCTTCGGGTTGAGCAATGTCGCCGCCTACGCTTCCGCTCACGCGGAGCCCTCAGGACGCCACCAACGGTTCGCCCTCGACCTCTTCGCCACAACCTCGACCCACACCCACGTAGACTCCTCGAAGGAGGACGAGGCGTGGGCCGGAGCGGACTTCTCCGGGCTTTGCGACCCTGAAGCCATGTGTCACTTCATGGCCGCGAGCGACTTCTACTTCGGCTACTCCGACTCCGATGACGAAGGCACTTACGATCCCACTCGTGAGTGCTTCATCGTCGGGCTCGGGATGCCGAGAGTGGGCGATGAAGACGAAGGGGCAGGCAATCGCTCCCCACCCCATGCGGGGGCAGGCGATGCCACACCTCTGCGCGTCGAGCCCCTGGTAGCGCGGAACGAGAACCCCGCCCACGAGGAACTTCAATGCCTTGACTTGGAGCAGCTCCGTGAGCTTCAGGCCAAGGTCGAACAAGACCGACTCCTTCTACAGCAGCTCCGAGACACTCTCGAGCGAGAGCAGCGGGGTCACGGTGATGGTGGAGCAGCCTGGTGGAGGACTCGCGACGTCTACCACCGCATCAACAACGATGAAGGGGGCGAGCAACCCCCTATCTTCAATCGCGCTAGCCAGAACATTGTGGCAGCGGCGATGCTACTCCAAACGATGTCCGAGCCATCTACCTCGGAGGGGCGATGGGTCCACGGCGAACTCCGAGACCTTCTCGAGACCGCCGCGGTACAGCAGGCCGAAAGCTCCGCATCTCGATGGCGCGGGGACACAATTCACCGGCCACAAGTTCCTGACGTTCTGCGATGACCACCACATCCGTGTGGTCTGGTCGGCCGTAGGACACCCTAGGACAAACGACCAAGTAGAACGTGCCAGCGGCATGATCCTACAGGGCCTCAAGCCAAGAATATACAACTGGTTGAAGAAATTTGGCAAGAAATGGCTTGCCGAACTCCCGTCAGTCATCTAGAGCCTGAGGAACACTCTGAGCCGAGCCACGGGGTTCACACCGTTCTTCCTGGTCTATGGAGCCAAGGCCATCCTCCCCACTGACTTGGAGTACGGTTGCCCAAGGCTACAGGCCTACAACGAGCAAAGCAACCGCACTACCCGCGAGGACGCCCTCGACCAACTGGAGGAAGCCCGAGACGTTGCGCTGCTACATTCGGCCAAGTACCAGCAAGCCCTACGACGCTATCAAGCCTGGCGCATTCGAAGCCGAGACCCGAAGGTGGGCGACCTGGTGCTGAGACTGAGGCAGAGCAACAAGGGCCACCACAAAGCTGACCCCGCCATGGGAAGGGCCGTACATCGTCGTCCAAGTGCTAAAGCCCAGGACCTACAAGCTAGCCAACGAGAAGGACGAAATCCTCACCAACGCTTGGAACATAGAACAGTTACGTCGTTTCTACCCTTAAATTTCCAAGCATTGTATACATTGTTTCTCGAAATACATTAAAGAAGCGTTCTTTAGTTATTCTAATTTTTCGAGAAACTCCCCGAGCCCATCGATGGGGGATCGGCGTTACGATAATGCTATAAGGGAGACTCGGCTCTGCCTCTGCAGAGGTGCCCACCGTAGGGCTCGACTCGGCTCTGCCTCTGCAGAACCGAGCCTCCCTCGGGGGCTAAAAAGGGGGGAACCCCCTAAGTCCCAGGCACCATTTTTTAGTCGTTCTTCGAAAAAAATTCTACGCCAAACTCTCTCGCGTACTCTGACAAGTCGATTGTAAAAAAACTAAGGACCGAAAGTTCGCCTCAAGGCCAAAAGGCCGGCCAAGCCGCGAGACAGCCTACGCCTCTGGGCTACGGCAACTCCCTCACCACCTTTTGCTCGAAGGGTAGCATAGGCTCCAAGGAAGTTTTTTGCAAAGGACTTGTCTACAAACGAGACAGAGGGCAGAGGCTCGGAAATACAATAAAAAAGATTAAAAAGCGTATACACACGAGTACTTTAAAAGGCCTCAACGGCCACAAGCGTTATGATATGGTAACATAAGTCCAAATCTGTTTACATGACCCCTTTGGCCCAGGTCAAAACTCAGGGTCGCCAGCATCGGCGGACGGCGTGGGAGGAACCACCTCCTCTTCGAACAAACTGGCCAGCACCGTGCCAGGGGCCTCAGCCGCCTCCAGCTTCATGACCTCCTCCTCGACCTCCTTGTCATCCTCAGCCACGATGTAACCGTCGCTGGCGGCCTCGAGGTCAATGCCGACGTAGTGTGAGGAGACGACGGCCAGGGCACGCTTGACGCTCGTATGCAGCGCCCCCCGGAGCCGCTCGCGGACTCG